TATATGTATAATTCTATAATACAATATTGTAAATATATTGTAGATATACCTCTATAATCTTTAAAGATTTACTTTTTATAGTCAATAAGCAACTACTTGCTAATCTCTAACTCCTAGGAGAGACCTGCCTTCCTAACGAGCAATTTCCTTCCTTCTCTTGCAGGATCGAGTTCCAGAACAAGTTCTACACTGGCACGGGCTTCAAGTTCCTGCCGTTCTCCTTTGACACCATCCGCGAGGGGAAGTTTGACGATTAGCATCCCCTGAGCTGCACCCCGAGCTTCGTGTCCCGTCTGTGTCCCCATAGCGAATGTAACTTATTGCAGCAGTCTGAGTGTGACCGGGAAGCTGGGAAGCCGCGAGCTTCGACGTTCCTGGGTTAATGAGTGATCCTGATCAAGAAACTTCTCCCTTAAGTTACCGCTGCCGCGTGTCGCTGTGGTGTAACTGTGCTGCTGTGCTGTGAATTTCCTGCCGGGTCTGTCAGGGTACTGTGAGAATAACATGGGCTGAGGAGCACAGGGACAGGAGGGCGCAGTACCTCCATCCTGCATAAAGCCTCCTGCTCAGGAAAAGAGATTTCGGAGGAAGTTCTGTGTGTGGTTCCTTGGCGCGGACACGGAGCTGCACGGGGTGCTTCCATGCCTGCGTTGCTTGTGGCACCCCGTGCTGCCCGAGCTCTGTGCCGACGCCGCTTTTTCTCCTGTGCAAATTGTGGGTCAGCCCCCGCCCTTCTCAGCCCGATGAGGTGCAGTGCTGTGTTGTGTTGTGTTGTGCTGTGTGCTGTGCTGTGTGTAACTCTGTCAGTTTTAGTTGTTGCTGTATTGTGTGTGAACAGAGTAGAACAGTAACACAAATCCCCCCAGCCTGGAGTTGAGCCGGAAGCCGTGGAAGAGCTGCGCGCATCTCCTGCAGCGCTGCCGTGTGCGTGCGGAGCGCCGCCGCCATGTGCGGGACGGGGTGAGGGGCGGTGCGGGCTGCAGAACGAGACCCGCCGCGTGACTGGGGATCGCTGTATGCGTGAATGTAAGTCGCCGTGCATTAAAGGCGCTGCACTGCAGGCTGCGGTCTCTTTTTGCTCCCAGGGGTCGGACAGGAGCTGGGGGTCCTGCGGTCGTTCCTCCGGCCTGTTACCGGAGGTGCGGGGTTCCGGGCGGTGCGGGGTCCCTCCCGCTCCCAGGCGCAGCTTTTTCCTCCCCGTTTCCTGCAGCGCCGCGGGGCGCGGACTGACAGCGCCCCCTTCCGGCCGGGAGGGAGAGGGTCACCACGCCCCGCCCACCCCCACGGCCCCGCCCATCTCCATGGCCCCGCCTCCTCTCTGCCCCACCCCGGTCTCCCTCCCGCCTCCCTTCGCTGATTGGCTCTCAGTGGTCCCGCCCCCTTTCGCCGGCGGCGCGGATTGGCGGAGCTCGGCACGGCCCGAAGCGAGCGGCGCGGCCATGGCGGTACCACTGCGGGTGGCGGCGATGGCGGCTTTGCTGGCGGCGGCGCTGGCTCCGTTGCCCCCCGAGCTGCGGGGACCGGTGGGGGACGCGCGGCAGGAGGCGGCGGTGCGGGCGCTGGCGCGGCGCCTGCTGGGCTCCAGGGCCGCCGCCGTGGCGCTGTCGGTGGACTCGGCGTTGGCGGCGGGCGGGCCTGACGCGTACCGGCTGCGCTCCCCGCCCGGCGGCGCCGTGGCCGTGGCCGTGACGGGCTCCAGCGGCGTGGCGGCCGCCGCCGGCCTCTACCGGTACCTGCGGGACTTCTGCGGCTGCCATCTCTCGTGGTCCGCGGCTCAGCTCCGCCTGCCCGACCCTCTGCCGCGGTTGCAGACTGAGATCCGCGCCGCCACCCCCAACAGGTACCGGCGGGGCACCCCGAAGCTGCGATGAACCGCGGGGGCCGGGGCCGCTCCACCGGCACTCCGACCCCCCAGCCCCCCGGTTCTGGGCTCCGGGCTACCTCCCTCCCACCCGTCCGTGTCCTGGTGCGGGCATCTCGCGCCCCCCGTCACCGCGGCACGAAGCGCTCCCAGCCCTCAGCGTCCCGCCGCCCTCAGGTACCGCTACTACCAGAACGTCTGCGCCCAGAGCTACTCGTACGCCTGGTGGGACTGGGAGCGCTGGGAGCGCGAGATCGACTGGATGGCGCTGAGCGGCATCAACGCGGCGCCCGCCTTCGCCGGGCAGGAGGCGCTGTGGCAGCGGGTGGGTGCCGCGCGGGGCGGGCGGGGCGCGGCGGGCGGCGCGGGGCTGACCGGAGGCCGTGCAGGTTTACCGCACGCTGGGGCTGAACCAGAGTGAGATCGACGCCCACTTCACGGGGCCGGCGTTCCTGGCGTGGAACCGTATGGGGAACCTGCACGGCTGGGCCGGGCCGCTGCCGCGTGCGTGGCACCTCCAGCAGCTGTACCTGCAGGTATGGGGGGACGGGACGCCCCGCCCTGGCATTTCCCGGCCCCGTTCGGGGCGCGGGGCTCCTCTCCCTGCTCTCTCCCCCTCAGTACAGGATCGTGGAGCGGATGCGTTCGCTGGGGATGACCACGGTGCTGCCGGCCTTCGCGGGCCATGTGCCACCGGGGGTTCTGCGGTAAGTGGGACTGAAGGTGGCTGCTCTGAGTCGCAGCCCTGCGCCCTGCAGGGCCCTGCCTGCGTCCCTCCATGAGGCCCCCTGGCCTCGTCCCACTGCCCATTCCCATCCCGTCCCCACTCAGGGTCTTCCCGCGCATCAACGCCACGCGCCTCGGGAACTGGAGCCACTTCGACTGCACGCTGTCCTGTGCCTACCTGCTGTCCCCTGAGGAGCCCATGTTCCAGGTGATTGGGACACTCTTCCTGAAGGAGCTCATCAAGGAATTTGGCACTGATCACATGTACAGCGCAGACACCTTCAACGAGATGAGCCCGCTGTCCTCTGACCCCGCATACCTGGCGGGCATCACCAACGCCGTCTTCAGGGCCATGACGGGAGGTGGGTCGCTGCGAGGCCGTGCTGTGCACGCTTGAGGCCCCACCACAGCTGCCATTGGGACTGTGACTACTGTGCTCACTTTGCTCTCTGCCCGCAGCGGATCCTGAGGCGCAGTGGCTGATGCAGGGGTGGCTCTTCCAGCACCAGCCGGCCTTCTGGCAGCCGCCGCAGGTGCAGGCGGTGCTGCGTGCTGTGCCCCTGGGCCGCATGATCGTCCTCGACCTCTTCGCTGAGTCCAAACCTGTCTACGAGTGGACCGAGTCCTTCTATGGGCAGCCCTTCATCTGGTGCATGCTGCACAACTTTGGCGGCAACCACGGCCTCTTCGGTGCCGTGGATGCCATCAATCACGGCCCTTTTGTGGCACGGCGCTTCCCCAACTCCACCATGGTGGGCACAGGGCTGGTGCCCGAGGGCATCGAGCAGAACGACATGGTGTACGAGCTGATGAACGAGCTGGGCTGGCGCCACGAGCCCCTTAACCTCCCTGTGTGGGTGTCCCGCTACGCCCAGCGCCGCTACGGGGCCCCCAACGCCGCCGCCAGTGCCGCATGGCAGCTGCTGCTGCGCAGCGTCTACAACTGCACCGGCGCCTGCATCAACCACAACCGCAGCCCACTGGTGCGCCGCCCGTCCCTGCACATGGACACGCAGCTCTGGTACAACGCCAGCGACGTCTTCGAGGCGTGGAGGCTGCTGCTGAGCGCTGGCACCGCGCTGGGCTCCAGCCCGGCCTTCCGCTACGACCTGGCTGACGTGACGCGGCAGGCGGTGCAGCAGCTGGTGGGCGATTACTACCAGCGCATCCGAGACTCCTTCCAGCGCCGCGCGCTGCCCGAGCTGCTGGCGGCCGGCGGGGTTCTGCTGTACGATCTGCTGCCCGAGCTGGACGCGCTGCTGGGCTCCCAGCGCCTCTTCCTGCTGGGCCGAATGCTGCAATCTGCCCGCGCTGTCGCCACCAGCGAGCGTGAGGCTGAGCAGTACGAGCACAACGCCCGCAACCAGGTGACGCTGTGGGGGCCCAGTGGGAACATCCTGGACTACGCCAACAAGCAGCTGGCGGGGCTGGTGCTGGATTATTATGGGGTGCGCTGGACCCTCTTTGTCTCTCTGCTGGTAGAGAGCCTGAACACAGGCAGCCCCTTCCACCAGGAGCAGTTCAACCAGGCTGTCTTCCAAGTGGAGAGGGGCTTCGTCTACAATGAGAAGCGCTACCCTGCGATGCCTGTCGGTGACACACTGGAGATTGCCAGGAAGATCTTCCTCAAGTACTATCCCAGTGCCACACAGCATGGCTGGGACGGGCCCCCCTGATGTGGGGTTGTGCCACTCAAAGCCCCCCAGGAGGAGGGCAGAGCCCCCACGCCTGAGTGCTGCACCCCTGTGACCAGCGCCAGAATGAAGGAGCTGAGCACCAGCGGGAGCGGCCTGCATCCCAGAGGATGGGAATTGCCCCAGGGGCTGCTGCAGCCCAGAGACCTGCTTGATCCTGCCAGCACCCAGCCTGCCCCGTGCTGGGCTGCCCACAGAGCATGGAGGCGCAGGAGTGGGGCTCTGCTGCCCCACTGGAAGCTGGGTGGTGCCCAGGCAGGAGCTGGTGAGGGTGGAGCAGCAAAATATGGGTCCCCGGGGCAGCCTTGGGAGGACTGTGGTGCTCCAAGGGCAGCCCCAGTTACACACAGTGCCTTTGTATTGAAAGAGATTCTGCCAGGCTCCCCATGGTGGGCTTTTCTCTGCCTTTTCTTCCCAGTACTGGCGGTCAGCACGAGGGGCTATTAAAGCCCTGGGTGCTTGGTACCGTTGGGCTCCTGTGTCTGTCTCTGCTGCCCTCCAGCACGCAGTTTGTTTCTAATGAGCTGAAGGAAGCAGCTCATGACGCACACAGAGGGAATGTGGGTGGTGTGCAGGGAAAAAGTACCACAGGATGTGGGGCAGCTCGGGGCCGTCCCAGGCTGGTGCAGGGCTGAGGGGATTGTGGCAGCAGCGCGGGGTCCTTATCGCCTCAGCTGCAGGTGGAGGGCCTTGAGATAAGCGGGCAGACACAACACGGCGGGTGGGTGGGGGGGAGCCCAGCCTTTAAAAACCACGCGGCCCCGCGTCCAGCACTGTCAGCTGTGGAGAGAACCGCGGTGCCCATGGAGAAGAGCACAGTGCTGATCACCGGCTGCTCCTCGGGCATCGGGCTGGGGCTGGCAGTGCGCTTGGCGGCCGACGATTCCCGCAGGTTCAAAGGTAAAGGGATGATGCCGTGGGTGCGGGTCCCAGCACTGCGTGGCACAGCACGGCTGCGCTCTCTCCACAGTGTTTGCCACTATGCGTGACCTGGCCAAGGGTGAGCAGCTGCTGGAGCGTCTGGGGGGCCGCTGCCCCGACACGCTGGAGCTGCTGCAGCTGGACGTCACCGACCCGCACTCGCTGGCTGCGGCTGTGCGCTGCATGCAGGGGCAGCACCCGGACGTGTTGGGTACGGCACCTTCCCCAGGGCACAGCCGGGAGCGGGGAAGCCAATATGGGGATGGGCCTGGATGGCACTGCAGCCCTGGGGATGGGTGTGCTGGGGCACGGAGAGGATTGGGGCCGGGTTCCCACGTCCCTGTATGCAAACAGTGCTGGGGTAATGTGACACCTGCTCACCAGCACCGTACCCCACAGTGTGCAACGCAGGGGTGGGTTTGATGGCCCCCCTGGAGATGTGCTCGGAGCAGGCCATGAGAGCAGTGTTCGAGGTGAACGTCTTCGGCACCGCACGCACCATTCAGGCCTTCCTGCCCGCCATGAAGCGCCGCCGCAGCGGGCGCATCCTCGTGTCCAGCAGTGTCGGGGGGCTGCAAGGTGGGCATGGGGCCGCCCGCGGGGCTGCAGGGGGAGAGACGCAGCTCTCAGCTGCCACTCCGCCCCAGGGGTGCCCTTCAATGCCGTGTACTGCGCCAGCAAGTTCGCGCTGGAGGGGCTGTGCGAGAGCCTGGCCATCGTTCTGCGGCCCTTCAACATCCAGTGAGCGCCGTGGGGTGAGGTGTGGGACCCGTGATGGGCTGTGAGTTCAGGGGCGCTGCTTTCCCGTAGCATGACGCTGGTGGAGTGCGGCCCGGTGCACACCGCCTTCATGGACAACGCGCGGCGCGCCGACCCTGAGGGCCACGAGCTGCGGGCGCTGGACGCTGAGACGCAGCAGCTGTACCGCCGCTACCTGCAGCACTGCGCGCAGCTGTTCCTCGACGCCGCCCAGGAGGTGGACGAGGTCCTGCAGGTCCGCGGGGTGGGCGCCGGGTGGGGCTGTGGGGCGCACAGCGGGCGCTGAGCTGAGCGGCGCCGCGGTGCAGGTGTTCCTGGAGGCCATCGCCGCCCCGCGACCGCCGCTGCGCTGCATCACCGCGCGGCTCCCGGCCCCGCTGGCGCGGCTGAGGCCAGGCGGCCCCGACGGCGCTGACTATGTGCGGGCCATGCACGACTTCGTCTTCGGCCCCGGTGAAGCCACCGAGGGGCAACCGTGAGCGCGGCCCCGGGATGGCCCCGGCAATAAAGCCTCGTGCCCGCGGCTGCGGTCTGGCCTCTTGCTGAGGGGCGGGGATCGGGCACGGGGGGACGGCACCGGGACCGGGGGGGGTGGCATCGGAGCTGTCGAATGAGCGCTCCCGGATCCGGGGCCCCACAATCCCGGCCAGCCTCCGCGGGGGCCGGGTCGCTCCCCACTACAAAGCCCGGCGCAGCACGACGGGGGCGGGGCGGTGGGAGGGGCCGTGACGCGTTCGGGATCGGTGCGATCTTCCGGCGGGGCCATGGCGCCGTTCCCGTCGGGGCTGTTGGTGCTAACGGCCCCGCTGGGCGCGTTACCGCGGCGGGCGGCGGCGGCGCTGGCGGAGGCGGCGGGGGTGGTGACGGGGCCGCTCTACGTGCACCTGCAGCCGGGGCTGCGCCTGGACGGCCCCGCGCCGCGCCCCGCCGCCCCCCCGCCCGCCGCCGCTCTGATCCGCGCTTTGGCCGCGCTCTACGCGGCGGCGGCGGCGCACCGGGGGTTGGACGTGCGGGTTTTGCTGGGCCACGGACACCGCCTAGCGCGGCCGCCCCGCGTGCTGCTGGCCGACGGTGGAACGGGCGACGCGGAGCCGGTGCGGGTGGCGCTGCGGGAGTTGGCCGCCGCCGCCTACGGCTGTCCGCCCGGGCTGCCCGCGCTGCTGCTGAGCGGCTCCGACGGCCCCGAGGCGCTGCCCAATGGCTCCGGCGCGGAGCTGCCCGCGTATCCCGACGTGGCGGTCGGCGGCACCTTCGATCGGCTTCACGGCGCCCACCGGCTGCTGCTCAGCGCCTGCTGCCTGCTGGCACGGCGGCGGCTGCTGGTCGGGGTGGCCGACGGGGAACTGCTGCGCCGTGAGTGCCGGGAGAAGGGGGGCCGGGGCAGGCGCGGTGGGGAGCGGGCAATGCCTGCGGTGATGGTGGTGTAGACGGGCACTGCGCTGTGCTCGCCGGAAATGGGATGAGACGCAGTGGGGGCTGAGGGCCTCCCCCGGGCTGGGGTCTGGGAAAGCATCCGGGTGGCTCAGAGTGCACGGGCACTGCCGGTGGGAGGGGATGTGGGTCAGCGTCGGCGGTGGGCACTGATTATGGGGACAGCCCAGACCCCACAGCTGCTGTCCTTCCCTGCAGACCTGTGGGGCCCTGTGGGCGGGATGGTGGTGGTGGTGGGGCACCACTGGAGGGTTCCTACCGTAGAACCATTTGCTCTGCCGCTCTCACTGTTCATCACTGCACGCTGTTGCAGACAAGGTCCTGCGGGAGCTGATCGAGCCCTACGAACTGCGGGCGGCCAAACTGCGTGAGTTCCTGGCAGATGTGAAGCCCTCAGTGCTGTATGACATTGTGCCTCTGGGCGACCCCTACGGCCCTGCAGTCACGGACCCGGAGCTGCGCTGCATCGTTGTCAGCGAGGAGACGCGCAGGGGCGGGGAGGCCGTGAACAAGAAGAGGATCGAGAATGTAACTGGAGGGGCTGAGATCTCTGGGCTCCAAAGTTTCGTTTGGGGGGCTCAGTGGTGTCCCCTCCCGGCAGGGCCTCGCTGCATTGGAACTCTTCGAGATCGAGCTGATGGAGGACCCTTACCACGGCCACAATGAGGAGGAGAAGATCAGCTCCTCCAGCCTGCGACAGCGGCTGCTCGGCACGTTGCTTCGGCCCCCACGGGTAGGGGGAGCTGCTGGGGGCTGGGAGCTGCAGGACCAGCACCCGTCTGACCCTTCCTTCCCCAGGACAGCCCCACGCTCCCCCCCCGCCCCTACATCATCGGTCTGACCGGGGGCAGCGGGAGCGGAAAGACCTCCATCGCCCAACGCCTGGGGCAGATGGGAGCATTCCTCATCGATGCCGATGCGCTGGGCCACGCCGCATACCTGCCTGGCAGCCAGGCCCACGGGCACGTGGTGGCTGCATTTGGGGCAGGTAGGGCCGGGTGAGCCGGGAGATGCTGTGGAGGTGTGAGTTGGATTTTTTTCTGCTCCTGAACCATCTCCCTCTGTCTTACAGAGATCTTGAACAAAGATGGAACAATTAACAGGAAGGCCCTTGGGGCAAAAGTATTTGGAAACCAGGTATGAGCAGCAGAGGGAATGTCAATATTTAACCTCCTGAGCAGGGAACTCTGTGCTGGGGCTTTGATTTTCAGCCCTTTGAGCTGGTGCCACATTCCTGCTGCAGTGGCATACAGCAAATCAGCAGCCATGCAGAATGCACAGTCCAGGCAGCAGCTCCTGTTGCTCCCCTAGCTGTAGCCCCCTCCGTCCATCCAAGCTTGTCCCTTGTGGACCCCCAGGACCTCTGGGAGGACCCTGACACCACTGTGGTTCCTTTGCAGGAGCGGCTGAAGAGCCTCACAGGCATCGTGTGGCCGGAGATCGCGCGGATGGTCAGGGAGCGGATCGGAGAGGCGAGAGCTCAAGGTAAGGGGTGGCTGTGAGGAGCACAGTGGGTGCTGGGTGCACGGTGCTATGCTGCTCTGGGGCAGCTGCTGCTTTGGGTAGCACATGGAGTATCTTCCAGCTCACAGCTGCTCTTTACTGGAGATTTTCACTCCCCTGAGTGCATTTGTAACTCAGACTTCCTGTTCTGAACTGGAGCGGGCATTGCCTTCTTTCTCTTTTTTGGTTCAATGCCCCTTAGTGAGCATGATGTGTGCAGAATCATTTTCTTTGCTGGGAGCTCAATGGGAATCCCGCATCGGGCAGCGCTGCCCCTCCCATGTGAGGTTCTATGGGGTCTATTCGCTGCCGGCGTGCAGGACGGCATGACCGCGAGTGGCCGCACCGGGCCCCAGGAGCGCCCGTGCTGCCCTGGAGTTGCCAGGTGACGAGGAACGGCTTCGTTCCGTAGGAAAGGCTGTGGTCGTGCTGGATGCCGCCGTGCTGCTGGAGGCCGACTGGCAGGAGATGGTGCACGAGGTGTGGGTGGCCATCATCCCTGAGGAGGAGGTGAGTGAAGCCCGCTGGCTGCCTCTGGCCGCACGGCCGTCCCCGTGAGCCCCGTGTGTCCCCTCGTGGTCCCCGCAGGCCGTGAAGCGCATCGTTAGGAGGGACGGGCTGAGCGAGGAGGCTGCCCGCAGCCGGCTGCGGAGTCAGATGAGCGACAGCCAGAGAGTGCAGCAGGCGCAGGTGGTGCTGTGCACGCTCTGGGAGCCGGAGGTCACCCGCAGGCAGGTGAGCCGCGGGCCGCTTCCGACGGCACGGGGAGCGGAGAGGAGAGACGGGAGCTCGGCGGCGGGGCTGCTGCCGGTCGGAAACGCAGCAGGAAGGGACGGACGGCGCCGAGCTCCGCATGCGGCGCTGCTGATGGCGTTTCGTCGGCAGGTGGAGAAGGCGTGGGAGCTCCTGCAGCAGCGCCTGAGCCGCGCGCCCGCGGGGCCGCCCGCCAACTGAGCGCCGCCGGGACGGGGGAAGAGCGGCGGCCGCGTCCCGGCACCGGGCGTGAGTCGGCACGGAGCGGCCGGACCCCACGGGGCTGGGAGCGCTGCCCGCTGCGCCGGAACGAACCGGAAACGCCGCGGCTCCGAGAGCTGAGCCCGACCCGCCGAGCGGCGCGCACGGTTCCGCGCACCGTGAGCCCGCGGCCGAGAGGCGGTTAAAGCGCGCTTCCTCTCTCTCGGTGTCCGTGGCTCTTTGTGTCCCGTCTCGCCGCAGCGCTGCCCGCAGGCGTGCGGGGCGCCTCCTGGCGGTCGGGAGGACTGCGCTTCCCGGCGGCCCCCGCGGTGCTCACGTGACCGGGGCGGGGGGAAGATGGCGGAGCCGCCCGGCGCCGCGGCGGAGGAAGCGTGGGGGAAGGTGAAGGCGGGGCGGGCAGCGGCGGGCCGAGGGCGAGGGGTTGTAGGCGGGGGCGGCGGGCGGCCCGCGGGGGGCGGAGGCCCGGAGCGCCGCTGCGTCCGCTGACCGCCGCCCTCCGCCCGCAGGTGGACGCTGCGTACGGGGACAATGGCCCGGAGCCGGGTAGGTGCCGCGGGGCGCGGCGGGGCGGATCCCGGGGCCGCTCCTCTGAGCCGCTCCTCTGAGCTCTCTCTCCCCGCAGCGCTCTTCATGGACAGCGCGCGGAAGGGCAGCGTCGTGTCCCGCGCCAACAGCATCGGTTCCACCAGCGCCTCCTCCGTGCCCAACACCGGTACGGGGCCGGGGCGGCGGCGCTCCGAGCTGCGAGCGGGGCGGCTGCGGGGCTCCCGCAAAGACACGCGGGGCCCTCGGGGCGGGCCCGGCCCGGCGCTCACTCGCGGTTCTCTCCGCAGACGACGAGGACAGCGATTACACCCAGGAGCACTACAAGGAGTCCTACAAGGACCAGCGCCGCCGGGCGCACACGCAGGCGGAGCAGAAGAGGCGCGATGCCATCAAGGTACCTCAGAGGCACCGCGCTGCTCCTTTTACGCCTTTTCCCTTTTGTTTCGTGCCGGATCCGCTCCCCTCAGCCGCATGTGAGCCGGGAGCCGCTTTTGGCTGTGGTGGGAGCTGGGATGTGGGTCCGTACCGCAAACTTCCGTGGAACCGCTGCCCCGTGTGGCGCCCCGTGTCCCTGAGCCTTGGCTCTGCCCCCTGTAGAAAGGCTATGACGACCTGCAGGCCATCGTGCCCACCTGCCAGCAGCAGGACTTCTCCATCGGCTCCCAGAAGCTGAGCAAGGCCATCATTCTCCAGAAAAGTGAGTCTGAGTGCGGGGAGGTGGGAGGGCTTTCTCTCAAGCCCCCAAACACCTCAACACAGGGATTCTATGTGACTGCCTCAGGGAGCCCTCCTGGAGGAGATCAGAGGGGCTTCCGTGTGCTTGCAGCTTCTTACTCTGTATTTTTGTGTTCAGCCATTGATTATATTCAGTTCCTGCACAAGGAAAAGAAGAAGCAAGAAGAGGAAGTTTCTACTCTCAGGAAAGATGTGATGGCCTTGAAGATAATGAAAGTGTAAGCAAGAAGCTATTTGGTTGCTGCCCTCTTCTTCCTGCTGTTTTTCCCCATGGTCTGGGTTCAGTGCTTTGCAGGCAGTCTGGCTCCTGGGGTCGTACCAAAGCTGTACCACTCTGCTATTGTCGTTTCTTCTCTGTTTGTTAGGAGGTCTGACTCAGATCAGTTGGTAGAGTTAAGTATGGAGATGGTTTCAGGTTTGAAAATGAATCTGCTTTCAGTATCATGCTTCCCAGCATTTATTTTACTTGCAGGATCTTCTGCAGACTCATTCTCCTCTCCATTTCTGAAGCTGTTTTCAGCGTCCAGTTGTTGCTCAGGCGCTGGGGAGTACGAGGCTTCACGGCAGCACTGAGCCCAGCTCTTGTTTTGTTTCAGGAACTACGAGCAGATTGTGAAAGCTCACCAGGACAACCCAAGTGAGGGGAAGGACCAGGTCTCTGACCAGGTGAAATTCAATGTTTTCCAAGGCATTATGGATTCCCTCTTTGAGTCCTTTAATGCCTCCATCTCAGTCACGAGTTTTCAGGAGCTCTCAGCATGTGTCTTCAGCTGGATTGAGGAGCACTGCAAGCCCCACGTGAGTACAGCAAACACGGGTGGGTTGAGGCAAGGGCAAAGGGTGCTGTGCACAGCTGCACCCAGCTGGAGTGCAGGCCCATGTGCAGTTTTCCTTTCTCCTGGGGCAACTTTCCTTTCTCCTGTGTGGCTGACACTGGACTGGGGCGTGGGAGCTCGGGTCCCTCTCATCCTCAGCTGCTTGCTGAACTGGTTTGGTAGTGAAAGCCAGACAGTGAAAAACAGAGCTTAGAAAGATGGTCCTTGTTCCCCAAGACACCTAGAAGTTTGGAGGGAATTAAGAAGGCTTTGTTAGAAGGGAGTTGTATGGGCAAGGCCAGGTCCTTGTTGTGCTGTGACTGCATGGAGCCCTGCAGCCTGACAACATAGACAGGTGATCATTTCCCATTCGCGTTCTGTGGGCATTGGCAGCAGGTGTGCTAGCTGTAGCATTGAGCCTGGGAAGGACTTTTCCTCCCCTGGACGACTGACTGTCTCCTCTCTGCCCCAGACTCTACGGGACATCGTCATCGGGGTCCTGCACCAGGTGAAGAGTCAGCTGTACTGAGCATTCCCTCACTGGAGCACCTTGGACTGGGCAGCAGGTTCCAGGAGAGGCTGGGCCATCTCCCTTGTGGTTGTCCTCAAAGCTTCTCCGATTATTTATTGTCACTACAAAACCAAAACAAGGCTGTGCAAGCATCTCTGCTTCACGGGTACTGTCACAGTCAGCATCACCAAATACTGCTAAGGATTTAGCAAAGGGAAAGAAAAAAGTGTGTACTGAATGCAGGTCTTTAAACTTGCCGGAGTCTTTAGCTCAGGCAGGTGTGTTGCAGTTGGGTTTGCCTGTGCCACTGACTCCAGTGCTGCAGCTCAGCTGGTGAAACAGATCTGGTCTGTAACCTCAGACCTGATACAAACCCTTTTGACCCTGGGAGCAGGGAGAAATAAGAAAGAGACACCAAAAGCTGTTGGTCTCTGCTAATGCAGATTAGGAATAGGGTTCTCCTGCAACTGCAGGCTTCCAGTACCTCCCTCTGAAACAGTTCTTAGAAAAGCAAGAGGCTGCTTTTAACTTCTAGATGGTTTGGAGAAAGCCCAGGAGAACTGAGGGAAGGGTGAGCATGTCACTGCCAGGGAGATGTGGGGCAGCAGCGAGTTCTCCTCATGCTGGAAGGAGTGCAGTGGGGCTGTGCTGTCCTGACCTCTTCAGTTGTAACTTTAACACCCCTGAACGGGAAAAGGGAGTGAGCTTTTTTTGCAGTCTTTTCCTGCTTGTGCTGCTGAGTGCTGAGTTGCCCTGGCCTCGTCTTTTTCCGGGTTGTTTTGTGGCCACACTGAACAGAAAAGTAGTTCAGTAGCTGCAGCACAGCACTACTGAGTTCTCACTGCTGTTCCTTAGCACCATAATTTTACGTGAGTGTATATATTTATAGACATGTAACCAGCTTTGATTTTATTTTATAATCACTGAAATCATTGTAAAGTATTATCAGTGCCAGTTCTGCAGTGTCTGCTGCTGTCAGCGTGATTCAACTAAACAAGCACAATGAGTGCATTGGACAGCATCATCCTCCGTGGCACTGATACACACAGCAGGGTTTGTTCTCTAATCATGTTCTTGCTACCACTCCACCAGTAGCAGCTATTTATTTTCCAGTTTTTCCACTGTAGATGAGGTAATGCTAAATTTCTCAGCTCTGGGTTGCTTGATTTGGATGCTGCAGCTTGAGATTGTTTAAGCTATTAAATGAAGAAAAGCATTTTGGTGGGGTTGATTTTCTTTTTTTTTTTTTCTTTCCATACAAAATTATTTTTCAAGCCTTGTGACCTTTTCAGTATAATACAATAGAAGCCCAAGAGGAGTCAAACCCTGTGGTGTTGCACAGAAGTGATGGCGCACACAGGGGCAGACGTTGCTGGTAGGTGTTGCCCTGTGATGGAAATGACTGTTGTGGAGGGACAGACAAGTCAACAGCCATGTGGCATGGCTTAATTTCCCTTAGATGCAACCTCTTGCCTTGTGAGGAAGATGTGGATTTTTACAGACCTCATGTGTGAAAGTGACATATTTTTCTATTGTGAGAAATAAATAATTTTTGCTCAACGTTTTAAGGGCTTTTCTGCTTTTATTTCCATTGCTGTGTACGTGGAGACTTTAATGGGATCAGGCAGGAGATGGACCCGCAGTGCACAGCAGCCCAGCCACCGCTGCAGCTGTGGCTCACGTTACCAGCACAGCACAGCACATCCTCCTGGCTCTCGCCTTCCCCACCAGCCAGGGCTGCTGTGCCTGAACCACATCCAAGGCCAGCCCTGCTGCCTTCTCAACACAGAAGATGCCACAGCAGAGCACATCTGAAACAGAAGCAGGGTGTTCAATGAATCGGTCCTGTGTACGACTCGGCGCAGGCCGTGGTCCCCTCCACGTGTGAATTGCAGAAATAGTGGCTGTACTGCTAACTACTTCCTTCACCTCTCTGAGGCACCTGCTTCCTGCTCTTACCAGAACACCACATCTCTAACCCAGTGCTCTTAAACCCTCCCAGCCACTGCCTGGTGAAAACACCCACCCAAAACAGCCTATAGCACTGAAAGGTAAGAAAACAACATTCCCTCGGTACATGAGAAAGGGAGAGGGTCCACTGCTGAATCAGGTGCTCTGACTACCCTTCCAAGGGCAAAGCATTTTTAAACAGAACTATATCAAGGATGTAGGACAAGCGCAAGCCCTGAAAAAAAACTACAGAAGAAAACAAATCTAAAACCCAACAACAGCTTAATCATCAGTTCCACTGCAGCGTGCTCTCTGTAAAGGAAGGCCAGCCATCTGCACCTCACACAGCTGCTGGGAACGTGACGTTGTGGTCCTCGTCGGTTTCTATTCCGACCTCCTCCTGTGCAAGGACAAAGTGCTCCTGTAGCAGACAGCTGCCCTCTGGCACAGCAGGCTCAGCCGCCTGGGATGCAGACAGAGGGATGGGGCTTACAAAGAACTGCTTCTTGCTCTTGGGGTATCCCTCCAGGATGGCGTCGAGCAGCTCGGTTGCCTGGCAGGGAAGTTAGATGAGATTTGCAGGAGTGATGCTGAGCTTTCTGCCACATCTGTGGGATGCTGCCTCCCATACGGGGAGCCAACACAACTGTTCCCACATTATCCCCTGCACAGGGATGCAAGAACTTGTTTTGCTTCCTCAAGAACAAATAAAATAATCAAGAACATCTCATATTTACACATTACAGCAACGTGGCCTTTAACAGAGGATCTCAGTGCATCTAGCCCCAGCGATTCTTGTGGTGGCACTCAGCACAGAGCTCCACTTAAAAGTTACTGATTGTGGAAACTTCAAGAAAATGCTCTCCCATAGCCTGGATAAAGCTCCCCAAGATAATCTGCAGATTGTGCCTGCTCCACCATCACCGTGGCCACTGACACTTCTGCCCACCCCACGTTCAATGGGGAAACCATTACCATCCGCTTCCTCCTCCGCCACTCCTTGCAGTACAGTTTCTGCTCGCTGCAGACCTGCCAAAGGCAAGGCAAAGTGAGAACAACTCAGCAGCCATACATCGAGCCTCTGTAAGCTCAAAGCCAGGAAACATCTGATTTCAAGGACATCACACACCCCAGCTACAGTCAGAGTTTTTTCAGGCAGCAGAACTGATTCCTTGGCTGGAACATGAACTGCTTTCTGAAATGGCCCACCAGAAACAGGAAGAAATTGAGTTGATAGTGCCTAACAACTGGCCAGAGATTTGCAAGGAAAGGACAGCTGAGGCTATTGAAGCTGCCGTAGAGTGTGCTCCCCACCACAATTCAGACATGGGCTTTGCAGGACCCACGTGGGAAAAGCCCAGGACTAAAGCAGTCTGCTTCCATCCCGGGGTCAGCCAGGCCAGGTAAAGCAGCCAAGCATTTGCTATGAGCAACCTCAATGTGGACTGCGCTGTACATTCCTCCCAAACCCCCAGCTCTTTACCTTCTCTTTTTCTTCTGGCGTTACTCGGTTGGTAGCAGACTTGATCCTCTCCAGTCTCTCTGTGTAACTGGCGCAGTCCTTCCTCAGCTCCTCAACTTCACGGGCCATGTCCGCGGTGGTCATAGCGCCGCTCAGGTCCTTCAACTCTGGAGGGCAGCGGCGATCACCGGGACGGCCGGCAACCACGGCGCAGCCGCCGCGGGCGGTGCCGGTGCGGCAGGGCGGGGGCCGCGCTCACCTGCCTCCAGCTGCCGGCAGCCCTGCAGCAGCGCCTGCACCTCGGCGGACCTCGCGGCGATCTCCGCGTCCAGCACGCGGAGCTCCGCATCGCCGGCGGCCGGGAGCTGCTCCTGGAGACGGGAGGGCGGGCGCTCAGCGGAGCCGAGGGCAGCGGGGCTCGGCCGGGCCCGGGGCTCACCTGGTCGGCGAAGTACACCTTCTGCTTGCCGTAGGCCTTCTCACGGACGCGGCCCTGCTGCGCCAGCTGCTCCAGCGCCTTCACCACGGCCTGAGCGAGCGCGCCGTCAGCCCCGCGCCGCCAGCCCCGCTCTCCCCGGCTCCGCCGCGCCTCGCCCGGCCCGCTCACCGCTTTGCCCAGCCCGTGCTCCCGCTGCAGGTTCCCGAAGACGTCCTGAGCGCTGTACGGCCGGTTCTGCTCCCGCAGGTAGCGCAGCAGGACAGCGGTGGCCCCTGCGCGACACGGCCGCTGTCACCGTGCCCGCTCAGGTCCGGTCCGGTCCCGTCCCGCCCCGCCCCTCACCGCTCCCCGCTGCGGGGCCTTCGCGCCCTTTGCTCATCTTCTTCCCGCGCCACGCTCAGGCGGTGTGACGCACTTCCGGCGCGACGCACGGCGAAAGAGCGGGGCTTCCTGTCCCGACCAGCCCGCAGTGATCCCGTTTCGCGCCGCTTCCGGCGGCAGCGCTCCTGCAGTTCCAGCGTCGTTCGGCGCTGTGGAGACTGATGGAAGGCCGCTCCTCGGCAGACGCTTTAACGTTAACTCGCACGATACGGGACAGCTTTAAAAGGCGGAGTTGGGAATTAAGTAAACCGGCGAAGAGAACCACGTGTGTTGTGCGGGCCTCTGAACTCGAACCGAGAGCCCTGCGCCTGCGCTCTGCTGGGGGCCCATCCGCTGCTCCCAGAACATTTCCCCAACGCCGCCATTTTTGCACAGCGGCACCTCCCCACGTCCCAGCTCGGTTCCCGTAAGAGCATCTGGGGCAAAGAAAAAGAAGCAGAGGAGACTGAGATGGGGCAATCCTCCCCCGGAAGCCGGGGAGACACGAGAGGGACAGAGAGAGTGAGAGGCCGTCCCGCAGAACTCAATTACCACAAAATGAAAGAATCCGAAAACGAAACAAGAAACTTTAATTCCACAAGTGAGCGCTGAGCACATCTTCTGTCTCACTCAGCTCTGCTAGGGGGTTGTGACAGGCTTTTTACTTCACACTGCAAAGTAGGCTGACATTTTATCAGACGACAGCTTGGTCTTGCAAGGCCCAAATGCAGATTTATGCTTGTATAAAATAAAGCCTCCACCTCAGTCATAGCTGAAAAAATCACCTGCTTCCTTACCTCGACAGTCCACGCACTGTATGGCCAACACCTTCAGCTAAGCAGATTCAGACAAAAAAAAAAAAAAAAAGCACATAAATGGGAGTTTCCCTGAAGAGGTAAGTGATCTGTATCTGTTTCTATGGCTTAGAAAAAGCAATGGGAAAGCTCAATGACTCAGAAAGGGCTGGAAGGCTTGGACACTCCAGCTTCAAGAATGTCTCTCCCCTATGGGTTGCTGGTTTAAGTGACCACAACAAGTAGTTCTTCAGTCACTTGTGACTTGAGCTGCTGTCCTCCATTCAACTCCTGCTGGTAGGCTCTCAACTATACAAAGCTGTGAAACAGCAGGATGTCCTGGAAGCCCAGAACAAAACTGGCCAGGCAGGCCATTTCTGCTCCTTCCATCCTCCAGAAAATCTCTCCCTAGTAGTTCTCTCGGAGGCAGTGTCAAGGGAAACGTATTGCTACTGTCCATGCTGAACGTGTTCTGGAATAACACAGGAAGTTTTTAGTAAATTGTTAGTCCATTATTTTCAGAAAGCAACACAAGTACAGCTGCCACGTGTAGATGTTCTTTGCAGGATTCTAGTCTTCACAGTAGATGTCTTATTGCCATTAAGTTTCTTACAAAATAGCATCACTAGAAAGTTTTAACTGGAGATGAGTGGCCAATAAGTCACAAACATTTGTGGCTGTACACCATCACATTCACAACAGGAGAGGTGTTCATTTCTACCCACAGCTGAATATTGCTGGGAGAGAAGAATTGGATTTCTGTGTATGTTTTAGGAAGAGGGAATGATTGTCTTAAAGACAGAACAGCATTAAGTCCTAGACATTAAGTCTGAGGGGAAACCAATCCCATTCACCTTATCACGTAACAGCCCCAAGAAGACTGGCTTCAAGATTGTTCTCAGTGATGCTGTCAGTCTGATTAGTGGTCTTTAGAGCTGCAGACACCAGACTAATTGCCATAGGTGAGGAAGTTTGGAGCAAGCAGCATCCTGGCAGGGAAACGCATGAGTGATTGTGGATCAATCACATCAATGCCTTTTCCCTCTGAATTACCAACATAGTTCATTTTAAAAATCCAAGCGAAGCTACAGAGTCACAGGTCAGTTGACGTCTCAGGCAGGACTGGTAGTGTTATCACTCATACTCACACAAGAGACAATCTAGGTAAATGTGCAATGCTTCTTCCTTCCAGGATTCCCCTCCATTATGCACAACAGAAAACCAGAAGGGAAATGATGTGATTGCTTATTGGCCCCGTGAGCCAGCAGGATCCAGCTGGTTCAGCTCAGACTGATCCAGAAGTTCAAAGTCATCCCCTTCTGCATCTGTGTCCAAGTCCAAGCTGGCCGTCCTAAGGTAAGTCTTTGCATCTCTGTGGGGATTGTCACTGCGCGAGGAGCCCGGCTGAGTGGCTCCCGACAGTGCAAGTTGTATCATCCCTCTGGTGACAAACCCAGCTATGTTGTTGGTAAGATTCTGTACAGATGGCAGTACACCAGCTTCTTCCTGGTAATAAGGGAGATGTACATCTTCTGTTAGTTGTGGGTGGTAAGCTAGACTTGGGATTCCAATGCTGGTGTCATCTTCATCGTCTAGGCCAGTTGCTTCTGGGTTTATGGAAGGGAAGTCAGGGAGATCCCTAGCAAAAGATTCTTCTGGGTCACTGTGACCATCCAGGTCTAGAAGAAAAGAAGGAACACGTTAAACACACAGCACACACCAAACACCCTGCATGCAAGGGCAGCACAGCATGCAAAAGCTGGGCCACTACCTCACCAAGACAGCCTGCCTGCCTCCTTTCATTTCACAGAAGATCAAACTTGCCTTGATCCTTCCCTCACATAGTGATTCTGGATGCTTGCTTACTTCCCAGCTCACTCGCAAGGAATGCAGATGCTGAACAAGACACTGGTCAGGGGAAACCATCCTCTCGCTCATTCAACAGATAAGCAGAGGGTGCAGAAAGGTCTTAGAATGGAAGAGCTGGCTACATCTATGGTATAATGCCATGACCAGAGGGACAGAGTGGTCATAGTGACAAAGCCTATGCTGCAACAGATCTCTGCAGACTGGCAGAGCTGGACCTGCCTTTGAAGAACAACCATCATTCCTCTACTAAAATACCACACAAATTACAAAGGAAGCTGTACTGAAAAAAAAACAACAGGTAGTTTCATCTCATCCTGGCCAGCAAGAGAGAGATTAATCAGCCAGATCTCAAGGATAGAAGGGAACACGCATTTCCCTGCAACCCATCACACTGATAACTGCTCAGTATTTCATATCTTTGAGAAGCTGACCATTTTCACTCACCTTCTGATCCCTCTGTCAGGGGAGTCTGACCCCTTGAAAGGTTAAACATCCCATTTTCAGTGTATGATACCTCAGCATCTGAATGTTCTGAGTCAGAGATGGTTAGTTCCTTGGCAACCACAGAGTCATCCAGCTTTGAAGAAGAAGATACAATAGAAAACGTCAAATACTGGAAATCTCACTCCTATGCCTCAAGATAAAACATGCAATCCACTGGCTCCCAGGTAAGCCCAGTCCTCAAGGGACACTGGTATCTGCAGCTCATTAATGCTTCACTCTCTAACCTAAGAGGCTGTAGTTGGTACAAACAGAACTGCTCATCTCCATGCCCATTATTCTCAACAGCCAGCTTGGAAGTAACACCAAGCTGAAGCTTGCAGCTGAGCACCTGGAAGTTCTACCTGATCCCTCCATGTCTAGAGGAGCAGGATTGGAGGTAGAGGTTTGGAGGGGAAGACATTTCAGACTTCACCAGTACAAAGTGTCACATACTTGAACAAGACAGAATCATAAAGACTTCACTAAAAAAAGAATATCTTCATCTAATTTTCCATCCCAAGGCAGCTGCAACATACTGGATACAGCGCTGAGCACTGCACAACTACACAAGAACAAAATTGTTCTTGTTAGCTGAGCTTTTCTGTTTCACAGTCACTTCATTACCTTGGGACAGAAAGCAGCAAGCTCCTCTTCACTGTCACTCCCATCATCCGTACCCTCCTGATTAATGGATCGGCGACGTACTGCCAGAAACAGAGGCAAAGCTTATTACTGCTGTTTGGACAGAGGTCCGTTTGTGCAGAAAACACAGAATTGGCAGACTGGGACGTAACACAGCACGCTCTGTTTATCAACACAGCCATATGATCGTTTCTGACTTGGGCTGCTGCAGTTATTTTGCCGAAATGTTTTGCAGCAACCTTACATTGAAAAAGGAGGAAGGACTCATTAGTGCAGAACAAACAGTTCTGGCAGCTGAGAAAAGGCACAGTCCAGCACTATGAACAGCTTACACCCAGTGCTCGCTACCTGGCAGATTCCTGTGCAGGCAGGGCTGCCTTGCTTCCCTGCCAAAGCCGCTGCAAGTATTTGCCGAAGGCGCTGGAATGGCAGCCTTTCGAGCCGTGCAGCACTACGCCCTCACTCCGAGAGGAGGGGCTTTAGTTGCACGTTCTTCCAGGTATCAAACACCAGCACCTGACGGGTTAGAAACACACTATGGTAACTTACGTTGCTTTTCCCGCTGCTTTGATATCATGTAGCCTCGAACACTGAAATCCAGCCTCTGCAGAGCTGGCTCCAGCTTCATGTACATGCGGTGCCCCAGCCTGTGGTACACAGCAAGAGGCCACAGCAGGACGAAGAGCACTGAGAGAAGAGGGAACGTTGATTAGAAACTGCACACGTTACTTGGCAAATATCTTACCCAATTTGTGAGTCAGTGTCACATGTGTACAGAATACAAGATCTGAGCGCTGAAGGTAACGCTGCAGAAGGCGGTTAGGATGGGTGCAATCACCTCCGCCAGTTCAAGAAAACAGAGAGACCAACTCTTCAGTGCTCAGATTTGTAGCTAACAAGCACTCAAACGTGTTCTGTCTGAACCAGAGACCTTAGAGTCCTGGTCAAGAATCAACATATTCTAGGCAGAATGTATTATTTTAAATTCAAAGCCACTTACACGGGTTTTCCTCGGGAGCAGAAAGCACTATCCCTCAGACATTCAGGTCCTGTATATCTCTACCCCTTTTCATTTTAAGGTCTGCATTTGGCACAGGGTTCTTCTACTTACACAGCAAGTATGAGAGCAGGAGTCCAGGGATATACCGGCCCAGAACAGCCAGGAAAGTAAAGACTCCACATACTAGAAGGCAAAACTGAAGACATGGGAGACGGTGAGTTTCCAAGGTTAAGCGATGGAATCACTCACTTCTTGACCATCTTGCTCTCCGCAGAATTCTATGTAAGGTTCTAACT